ATATAGAACCGTGAACACTCAGAGAAACCTTTGCATGATTAAATGGTTCTTTGCATCATAAAGGGTTCTTCAGATTGATAGAAAATGGAAATTAATGTGCTATAGATGGTTCTATATAGAACTTTTTTAAATGGGTTTTATATAGCACCCAAAAAGGGTTCGTCTATTGTTACAAGCCTGACATTGTAACAGTAGAACACTTTTGGGTGCTATATAAAAACCATTTAAAAAGGTTCTATATAGAACCATTTTCTTTACTAAAGAACCCTTGAAGAACTGTCATTTTTAAGTGTGTAGGAAACAGAATTGACAGCAATAAAACAACAGTGGCATTACAAATTGTCAGACCTGTCACAGACATGACAGATAAATTAATTAATTGTTTAAATAATTGCAGTTAATGATTTAATTTTCTGTTTAGTTCATTTTATACAGCTAATAAAGTCTAAGCAGCTAAATTGGCTGATGATGGCTAAAATTTGCACATCAAGTTGACTACCGTTCCCCTAAAGGTGTTACAGCACACAGTTAGAAGTTAGAAGTTTAGATCAGTACAAGAAAAGTTAGAAAGAAGTGATTATTTTATTCAGGTCTATTTGGCTCAAGCCAACTGATAATCTAATTTAGCTCACATTATGCTTCTGATAAAGTCTGATAAATTATCAGATCTAATGATTGTGGAACACAGTTGTTGTCGGGTTAAATAATTGTGCGTATCTCATATTTGTGATCAGGCGATTACGTAATAACTGTGACAGGCTGATTATTGTTAGCGCTAGAAGTTAGAAGTTGCATTTGGCAGCCCTGCACTCTTAAATTAGATGGTTCTTCAAGGGTTCTTTAGTTAAGAAAATAGTTCTAGAACCATAAACACTCGAATAAACACAGAATAAAGGGTTCTTTGCATCATGAAAGGGTTCCTCAGATTGCTGGAGAATGTGGTGTATAATGGTTCTATATAGAATCTTTTTTTAAAAAGATGGTTCTATATAGCATGCTGAAGAGTTCTATTTGTACGGTGTCAAGCTTGTGACAGTAGAAGAACGCTCTTGGGTGCTATATAGAACCCTTTTTTTTTAAAGACGGCACATTCATGCATATTTTCCATCAATCTGAAGAGCCCTTTCACGATGCAAAGAACCCTTTAATCATGCAAAGCGAACATATCACGCTCCTGAAGAACACAGATCCACCTGGCACTCTCATTCGGCCACCAGAGTAGTCTGTAGTCTGTTTCCTTAGGATTAACAGACTCATTTCTTGAGAGCAAACTTTAGTTTAAAGATTTTTGTAGCCCAAGAAAGTCACCTGTAAAAGACCTACTAGACTATCATATTGCTGCATCTCCAAAATGGTAACTTTACAGGAGATGGAAAAAACATTCTTTACTTTTAATGTAAGTCAATGGAACCAGACTTTTTTACATGTCATTTTGAGGCATTTCTTTGGTCCATTCATCATGAAATTTACACACAGTATAAAGGACAACAGGCATTTTCAAAATATGTCAAAAACTGAAAAAAACACAAGAATGGAGATACAAGGTTTTGTTCCGACAGCAGCGATATATTATTCATTTCAGTGGACAGAACAGATGTAGGCTGTAGGGCTGGGCGATATGTCAACATATCCTGGGGTTTCACTCATGTGATGTTTCTGTTGTGGCTGGCATATTTGGGACCGAATTTCTGGCTTTGCTGCTCTGCACGAACATAATTAGAGGTGAAATATGGCTAAAATCACTCTCCTCACTGTGGAAGAGAAAAACGTTTCCTGACAAAGCTGATAAAACAGGCTGTGATCCTTATACAGTTTCCTCTGAACTCCTGGTCCCACTTAAACTGGCAGAAAGCTACCAAATTTATGTTTTGCTGACATTTATTTTGATCTCATACTCAGCCCCTCTCCCTATTCTGGAGAGTCTCTCACAACACTTAAAAGCACAGAAGCCCACCGGCTCTTCACGTGTTTTGTTTTTTTTAATGTAGCTCTACTGGCTCTTCTTTCTTGGTTTCAACTGATCAGATGTCTGAAAAATATTGTGACATACCTTGTATCATGAAAATGTTGTGAGGAGCAGACGTGATTTAACGCTGCTAAAGCTGTTAGGATGTTAGTAAAGAGGTGAGTTCACTGTAGGACAGTACAGTTACGCCACTTGTCACTCAAACTTGGTCACAGGAGAACAGATCTCCAGTCGCTCAACTGGGAATATATAACTCCACGTTTCAGACATTGCTGAAGTATATTTGGCGATTCATTTTACTCATCGCCCCCCAACCATGTTGAAAAACTTGGAAGTGCGCCCTCTCCTGGCGACAGAAGAGTACTGTCGTATTGTTTGCAGTTTGTCGCTAGAACGTGGAAGTGTGGTGTATTATATCCAACATTTATCAAACATTTCTTATAGTTCTATCGAGGAAAGTTATATCGCAATAATTAGCGCTGTCGTTTTATCGCCCAGCCCTACTAGAATCATATTTAATTTTCCTACCATTTTGTTTGTAATGTGATGTTTGCATTTCTACTTAATATTCACAAATTGATTTTATGACTAAATTAAAAAAAAAAAATCCCAGTGTGTATCTCACCTGAATCAGGAGTCATGGTTGAATCAGTGGCTGGGCACTGAGTGTCTCTCAGTAAGAGGTAACTTGACTGCCTATTGATTTATTTATTTCTTTATTTTTTTGATATGTTAGAGTATTCAGCCAGAAAATTACTTGAAATGCTCATTTCTAGTATCTGAATGAGCTGTATGTGTAAACAGTGTTCGCTCTCAGCTGTGAAACGCCCGTATCTGACTCATCAGACAGTGACAGCAGAGACGATTCACTTCCAGTTCTCACAACATGGTGTTTGTTTACAAACAATTATCATCCAGGCTCATAGTTGTATTGATTTGTAATCCATCCTTTGTCGATGCCGGCTGTCCTGACAACTTCTTTGTCTCCGTTGCATTTGTTTTGCAGAGAAAAGGAAAATTGCCAGTAAACAAGGATGATGCATTCATATTTTTCCTCCATGTGGATGAAATGTCTTTTTCCATCATCCTTCAACCTTTAATCTGGCGTAGTTGGATGCGGCAGCGTAGAGCGGTAATCACATCTCCATGACAACGTACTTGTCTCTGAACCAGTCAGACCCAAGGGAATTAGGGTCTTATAGTCATTCTTGATTGACAGCTTGATGCTGGACCCAATAAGAGACAAAATAGACCCCTCTTTTGTAGGACTCCACAACTGACTGACTGAGAATTAAAAAGCTCTTTAAAGCGATAATTTGTTAAAGTCAAATTAACAGTTTTACATGGTTTGAGGTGAGCGTGTGATGGTTTAGGCATGTAGCTGGTATGATGCTAATTGGTGGGGTATAATCTTCTATTACTTGTTAGCTACGTTAGCTTCGTAGCCCCTGTGCTAAAACTAAAGAACCAGACTTTGGATTATATACGGGATACGATTAAAAATTGTTGGCTTAACTGTCTTTAAGAGAAGTGACTTGTTCAAGACCAAGGAAGACGGCTTATCCCGTCTCTCCGTTTTAGCTGATGAAACAACATAAGCTGATGACTCCTGTGGCCATTTGCATTCAGGCACTGTTTCGGGTCTGATGTGGGCGCTGATTACGTTGTTTATGTTTGCGTTCCAGGCCCATTTAGAGATTTCCCTTGCTGTTTTAGGTTGATTTAGTGATTTAACGTTGCATTTAAGGTGATTTATCTTGGTGTTTTAGGCTGATTTAGTGGTTTATTTTTGCATTTAAAGGTGAATTAGTGATTTATCTTTGGGTTTAGGCAGATTTGATGATTTATCTTTGTATTCCAGGCTGATTTAGTGATTCATCTTTGCATTTTAAGGTGATTTAGTGATTTATTTTTGCTTTTTAAGGTAATTTAGTGACTTTTCTTTGGGGTTTCGGCCCATTTGGTGATTAGTCTTTGTTTTTTAATGAGATTCAGTGATTCATCATTGCATTTTTGGCTAATTTTGTGGTTTATCTTTGCATTTTAGGCCCATTTAGCGATTCATTTTTGCATTAATAATGTAGTGTGCCTACATTTTAAAGTGGAAACTATCCTTTTTTTCTATAATGACCAGTTTAGATCTCTTGAGGTGGTGGTAAATGCAGACGTGTCAGCGCAGAAATTCCTGTAGGTTTTTGTTGGGCCTTTTCAACAACAGTTTATTCTGTGTTTAGTCAATATTGTGTTCTAATTGTAAACATTAATTTGTTTAATGACGAACTTTGCTTTGCTTTGTGGGCTCATTTTGTGGCGCCTATCCTTCTGTAGCATTTTCAGGTTATTTCAGTGCGTTTAATAATTCATGTCAGTAACACTTTAGAATACAGAAAACCTGCTGGTGTGTGTTACAGTCACAGCATCATGCATTTCGTAACCTTTAGAAGTCGCCCGTATTGCCTGCAGTGCTTAAACATGTAATTTGATATTATTTTTAGCTCATTGAAACAAGTGAAAATTAGTGTGGCACTTGCAGAATCTGAAATTTTAATCCTGCCACATTTGTGTGTAAATAGGAGATATTTTATAACTTGAATTTGATTGAAAATAGTTTGTGTTCTTGCTTTGCAGAAAGAAAAAAAGCCTTTACATTATCATTTTCATCATGAAACACAAAAATGTCCATACAGAATGTATGTCTAATGTAAATGTAATTATGTCTAAATAACATAGTAAAACTGCTGTAATAACTGAAGACTTTTAAGGGTTAACTCGTGATCTTTGGGGCGTTTCTCATAGCTCACCTCAGACATCAGAAAGCATCCATCACAATCCACACAAAAACAGCAGAATCATTTATAACACAAACTGCTTTTATTGTCAAACAAGAACCATGAACTACCAAAAATACTGCATATTCTAAAGTGTTACTCTGTTGTGCTTTTACCATACGTACTGGAGGATATTAAAGGGAGCAGGTCCCTCGTTACATAGTCTACTTAGGATTCCCTGACTCAGAAAACAGCAGAACACGGCGAAAAGCAGAGTTTCGTTTATTATTAACATGCAAAATACAGTCATGCATCTGTCTCATCTGCAAAAAGAGGGTTTTTTTTCCTTTTGTTAAGGTGCAGACATTCAGTGTCTAATACAGGTAGCTATTCATTCCCAAGGATCCAAAATGCTTTACAAGGTAAGAATATTAAGAAATTTAGCAAAATCTCAATAAACCTTTAAATATATATTTATAAAAAACAGAACCAGAGGGAACTAATATCCATAATGTATATATAATATTTTTCCATTAACTCCCAGCCAAAACATGCTTGTCAGATTGTTTGTGGTTGCTTGTTTTTCCATAAGAAAGCCTTAATTGGCACAGTACTGCTGTAACAGGTAGCCTACTATTCAAGCCCCACAGACCCACACATGCAAATAAATAGAGGAACAGAGTTCACGTCGTAAGATTGACAGAAACGTGCTATTAGATAGCGGGCAGTGCGTTAGCCTGAGCTTAGCGGCTCAGTGGCCAAACGTCCTCGGGGCCTCGTACTCTGAGGGAACTTTCGGCTTGATCCCCTTGCTGTTGTAGTAATCCACCACTTGGTTCGGGACTTCGGCCAAGACGGTTTTTGCCAGGGCTGCAGGAGAAGCCTGTGGGTTTAGAAAATATGGGTATGTGTGAGTCGTACGTCTGTCACGATAGTGATTTGTCTTTTCTTGTTTATTGTTTGCCGCTATTAAAATACAATCCTAAAGTGGCCAAACTAGCTGATTAGCCACCTAACCTGCTAGCTGTGTTTACTAACAGTGGTTGTACTGCCAAATTGATACTGAACACTCACAGTAGGCCCTTTTCACAGGAAACGGAAGTGTGTAAACGCTGGGTAAGACAAGTTCCGCTGTTGCTTTTCGGACAGTCATTAATCACAGAAATACAGGCGTTTGTATCACTTTAGCCATCACAGGTGTCTCACTTTATCTTTGTCATAGTTGCCCAAGTTGAAATTAGAGGATGAGTCCAGAACAGTTAGAGAACCAAACACACAACAATGTGGAGTCCAAACTACTTAAGGATATAAATGATTCATGGAAAAATTCCTTCACAGCTGTCAGAGCACAGTAACGTCAGCTACGTCTACAGAGAGATAAATCAGTGGAGGAGAAAATAACTATAACCAAAAAGCTGGATTTGCCATGTTAGCTGGAGGTGCTGAAGCAGCTCACTAACAATAAACTAGTAGGCAAAGAGCTAAACATGCACACACACCAGCAGGGGGCGCCGGGTCGTCAGGGTCCGTAGCGCCACTGTAGACGTTTTATACGAACACTGAATGAACATCTGCTCCCGCTGAGCTCTCGCTCTCTCAGATACCGACAGCTTTAGAGGGAGAAAATGAAAACTGTTCCTCTGAAAGCGGCTGAAGCAGCAACTTTACAGCACAAACTGCACGTCAACGTTAGTGAGCAGCGCCGAAACACAGACACAGAGGTTCTTTTACTCCGTATGACAAAGTTTATTCTTTTATTAACTGCACAAACTCATTTTTCATCTGCTCACTGTCGGCTGACGAACCACTGAAACTCAAATAAAGTTGTTTTTGCTTCAGGCTCGAACACTTGCGTGAGCTGTACACGCTCTACTCGTTGTTATTGTTGTTGCTTAAGCAGAAGTTGCGTTACCTGCAACGAGAACTTCTGGCAGAAAACATGCGGGAATGTGAAAAGGGCCTGTTGTCTGCAGTTTCAGAGAATTATGTGTAGAGTTACGCTAAGTGTCATTCTTCACAAATCACAAGCAATAAAACATTCATTCTGCTAGCATAAATGCTAAAAATGTTAGAATTAGCTACATAGCTAACAAACAGACATTACCCAACACTGTCCTCAACATGTTGGAGCACCAAGTTAGTTGTTTTCATTTACACCGATCAGGCATAACATTCTGACCACCTCCTTGTTTCTACACTCATTGTCCATTTTATCAGCTCCACTTACTATATAGGTGCACTTTGTAGTTCTACAGTTACAGACTGTAGTCCATCTGTTTCTCTGATACTTTGTTAGCCCCCTTTTACCCTGTTCTTCAGTGGTCAGGACCCCCATGGACCCCCACAGAGCAGGTACTATTTGGGTGGTGGATCATTCTCAGCACTGCAGTAACACTGACATGGTGGTGGTGTGTTAGTGTGTGTTGCGCTGGTCTGAGTGGATCAGACACATCAGTGCTCCTGGAGTTTTAAACACTGTGTCCACTCACTGTCCACTCTATTAGACACTCCTACCTTGTCAGTCCACCTTGTAGATGTAAAGTCAGAGACGATAGCTCATCTGCTGCTGCACAGTTTGTGTTGGTCATCCTCTAGTCCTTCATCAGTGGTCACAGGACGCTGCCCACAGGACACTGCTGGCTGGATATTTTTGGTTAGTGGACTATTCTCTTAATTTGTTTAATAACAAATATTGCTTTGCTTTGTGGGCTCATTTTGTGGCGCCTATCCTTCTGTAGCATTTTCAGGTTATTTCAGTGCGTTTAATAATTCATGTCAGTAACACTTTAGAATACAGAAAACCTGCTGGTGTGTGTTACAGTCACAGCATCATACATTTCGTAACCTTTAGAAGTCGCCCGTATTGCCTGCAGTGCTTAAACATGTAATTTGATATTATTTTTAGCTCATTGAAACAAGTGAAAATTATTGTGGCACTTGCAGAATCTGAAATTTGAATCCTGCCACATTTGTGTGTAAATAGGAGATATTTTATAACTTGAATTTGATTGAAAATAGTTTGTGTTCTTGCTTTGCAGAAAGAAAAAAAGCCTTTACATTATCATTTTCATCATGAAACACAAAAATGTCCATACAGAATGTATGTCTAATGTAAATGTAATTATGTCTAAATAACGTAGTAAAACTGCTGTAATAACTGAAGACTTTTAAGGGTAAACTCGTGATCTTTGGGGCGTTTCTCATAGCTCACCTCAGACATCAGAAAGCATCCATCACAATCCACACAAAAACAGCAGAATCATTTATAACACAAACTGCTTTTATTGTCAAACAAGAACCATAAACTACCAAAAATACTGCATATTCTAAAGTGTTACTCTGTTGTGCTTTTACCATACGTACTGGAGGATATTAAAGGGAGCAGGTCCCTCGTTACATAGTCTACTTAGGATTCCCTGACTCAGAAAACAGCAGAACACGGCGAAAAGCAGAGTTTCGTTTATAGTACCTGTTCTGTGAGGGTCCATGGGGGTCCTGACCACTGAAGAACAGGGTAAAGGGGGCTAACAAAGTATCAGAGAAACAGATGGACTACAGTCTGTAACTGTAGAACTACAAAGTGCACCTATATAGTAAGTGGAGCTGATAAAATGGACAATGAGCGTAGAAACAAGGTCATAATGTTCTGCCTGAACGGTGTATAAGCCCCATGATTTGCATTTACTGCCTGCTTTTATTTAAGTTTATTTGTCTCAGCCCGGTGCACCCAATTCTGTTGTTTGTTTGAAACATGATATGCTTGTGAAATCTAATGATGGTGGGAAATGGCTGCAGTCAGCTTAAATAATTGCGACAAGGCTAGTCGTTCAGTCCAGGCCAGAAACATTGTTAAAGTAGAGGATCTTCAAGCTACAGACACTGGATTTCCTGCATCACCACATTTCAGTTTTACATAATAACACACAAGAGTCTGTTATGCTGCGAGATATTGACTCTGGTGTGCTGCAGCCTGGAGCCCAAAGCTGAGGTTCTCCACCTCTTGGATTAGTTTTTGGTTCTTTAGTTGTTTTGATGAATGGTTGCTGGTTTAACTGCAGTATTTAAGGTGGAACATCAGCATGATGCAAAGTCCCAAATGAAGAAACAAGACTCGCTCTGCTCGCTTGCTGTTATAGTTTTTTGGGCAGGATTGTTACTTGTAATGAGGTTGTAATGAAGCCTGTTACTTTTAAACGGTTGGTTGTCGCTGCTACGTTACAAGCTATAAGCAGAGTGATACTCAAAGACATTCATTCTCAGTGCCATTATCAGGATACTGGCACTCATAGAATGCCTTTCAGCCAATCTCACAGCAGCATTATAACACTGCACAAGCAGCATTCTGAGTGTTGAAGCAAGAGGGCGCTGTTGCGGTCATTAACCCACACACAAGCTGGACAAGAAAGAAGAAAAGCTCTCCATTTTTCCACTAAGAACAATTGTTACAACCCCCTATGACTCCCAAAACTGTAGGTGAAATTTGCGGGCGCTCCTTTTCCGATCAGATTTGAGCACACGCAACTGATGAACAACTCTCATAATACAATGTGAGACCGTGAGGCGAGTTAACGAAGCGGTCTGGGTGTGTTTGGGATTTCTTGGATTGTGAGAAGCCGAAAACTCAGCTTCTAAGACTGAACTTTGGAGGAGTCTCTGCAGATTCTTTGAGAAACTGAAAGTGAGTCTCCTGAAAAGAATGGAAGCTGGAATAAAGGAGAGGAGTGACACAGTGAACACTCACAGAGCTGAGATTAGATTTAGTTGTCAAGGATTCTGCGTAGTTTTCTGTTAAATGCATATTTTTGGTGTTTTTTCCTGATGCTGAAAAAAGAATCTTATACTTACTGGCTGTTTGACTGGAAAGTAAATAAATGAACGATGGTGTCGACTTTTGCACAGTGTTGTCTTTGTAAAATATTGTGGTGTGGAATTTTACTCAGCGCTACAGAGTTGTGAAAGTTTATGGACAGAGGTTGCAGGGAAGAGACAGACAAGGCCTGCCTGAGTGCCAATTAGACCTTGCTGAGGGGAGAGAAATGGATGTGGCAGCCGTCTGGTTGAGGCCACAGGTGCTTGTGTTTGGAGAAACAGCTCAAATATCGCAGTAAGCTAAGATAACAGGCTCCAGTGGGGAGTAGCTGGTAAGCTGGAGCCGTCATCCACAGAGCTCGCCGAAAAGAAAACCAAACTCTTCTGTCAGTCACTCTGCATAACAGTGAGTGCGTTTACGTGCACTCAGTAATCGGATCATAATCAGATTTCTGCAGTTATCTGAGTATTCCAATAGTCATGTAAACAGCACACTGATTTCTTAGATCAGAGTAAGGTCTAGAAATCTGATTAAGAAATCCGATAAAGAGGCTGGATTTTAGCTCAGTAATCAGATTTCTCAGTGCATGTAAACTCTCACTCTGATTTCTTTTGGATTTCTCAGTCTGCACATGTGTGAAAACGTATGGGAGGCAAATCCGGCCAAAAAAGAAATTAAAATTCAAACAATAAAATGTAAATGCAAACCTCTTTTTGCCATTTCTACTTCCAAACATCTGTGCAAATATCCTGCCAAAATTGACAATGAAATGAAATACCTACATTTGCAATTTCATTTTTCACATAAGCACGAGCCATTTGTGACAAAAATAAAAATAAATTTAAAACAGCTATTAGTCATTTCATTTTAGTCGTTATTCTGGTATTTCATGGCCATTTTTAAAATGGGAAAGCTAACAGAGCTTATAGGCAGGGCTACAGGGTACATTGTAGGACATCCGCAGACCTCAGTTTTAATTTTAATTTCTTTTTTGGACGGATTTTCCTCCCATAAAAACAGACAGCGGTCCCGGAAATAAGCGAGCAGCGTCGCCACAAGACGCAGCAAAACGG